TTAGCTTTGATGGGAGAGCTGTTTTCAAAATGCTAACGCCCAGTAATTGGTCTAGGAGATGCCCAGAATACACTAAAACAAACAAACAAAAAAACCCATAAATATTTTTATCATAAAAAATTTCAAACATCTACAAAAGTAGAACAATACAATGAACTCCACATACCCACTACCCAGTTAAAACATGTTCGATCTTGCTTCATTTAAGTCTCTGCCACTTCCCTTCCTACCTGGTCTCACTCTCAAGAATTGGAAAGCAAATCCTGTACAACATATCATACTATCCATAATATTTCAGCATAGATCTTTAAAAAAGATGGATTTCTTTTTTGAAAAACAAAACCACAATATAATTATCCCATCTAAGAGGTTATTGATTCCTGAATACTGTCATGCACTGCTTAGTAACAGAATCCATTCTGAGAAACGCATCATTAGGCAATTTCATCATTGTGCAAACATCAGAGTGTATTTACACAAAACTAGATGGCACAGCCTACTGCACACCTAGGCTATATGCTATAGCCTATTGCGCCTATGCTACAAAACTGTGCAGCATTTTACTGTATTGAATACTGTAGGCAACTGCAACACAATGGTATTTCTGTATCTAAACATATTTGAACATAGGAGAGGTACAGTAAAAATATGCTATTATAATCTTGTGGGACCGTTGTTATATATGCAATCTGACACTGACCAAAACATCATCTTGTGATGCATGACTATCTAACAAATATAGAATCAATGTTTTAATTTTCTCAACTTTCTTGTAAATATATATTTCAAACATTTTTAGAGTTTCTATGTTTGTCAGGAGGAAATAATTACATATATTGCAAGTGATTATTTTGCCTCAAATGCTTTCATCTTTACAGGCAATCCCTCCCCCTTCTCCACACTCTTTCTCTCCCTTTTCTTTCCTTCTTCTCTCCTCTTCCCCTCTTACGGAAATGTATTTATTGAGGAAAACAGGTCACTTTTCCTATGGATTTCCTAGTCTGGATTTTGCTGATTTTCCCCATGATGTCATTCAACATGTTCTCTTGTCCCCTGTATTTGCTGCAAGTAGAGAGCTAGATCCAGGGCAGGGACAGACACACTTTTCCTGTAAAAGATCAGTTCATAAATATTTTTGGCATTGCAGGCTATATGGTCTCTGTAACTGCTACTCAACTTTGTAAACAAAAGCAGCCACAGACAATATTAAGTGAACCTCTGTGGTCTTGTTCCAACCACACTTTATTTACAAAAACAGGAATCAGAAATGATTGACCTGAGGGTTGTAATTTGCTGACTTCTAATCTACAGGCTTAATCAGACGTAGACTCAAGCTTTTAGCAAGAATACTTCATAGACAGTGCTGTGCACTCCGTCAGGTGCCATATAACGCCTGATTGTCTTTCTTCTTGTAATGTCAACACCCACTGGTGATCATATGTAGGTACATCGTTTCCATAGGGACTGCAAAATGGGAATATTCTTTATCCCTTTGGCACTTACTAGCTTAAGTACTTCTATAATAAGAAACTTTCCCTCTCAATGATTTTGTTAGCATGGGATAGAATTCATAAGGGAAAGGCAGAATAAAAGCTTTCTTCTTTACTATATAAACAATTTTCAAAATAATAAGTTGGTTACTTAGCATTTTCCAAAGGTAACCAATGAGGGATTATTTTTCTTCTTTGGTATTATGAACTCTTGGATTTAAACCTTATTTAATGCTTTCAATCCACTGTGGTTATTATTGCTATTGATGTTCCAGTTATTCCACAGATAGCCAGTGGGAGCCTCTTCAAGTTGGCTCCTGAGAACTTTTGATATAATCTTAGTAGTCCTTGATACCATCCTTGCTATGTTATCTGTTAAGTCCAAATATTCTGGTCTAATCTTGCGCAGTTCCTGCTCTAGACCTAAATCAGCTATATCCCCAAGGAGTCATGGGTGGAGGAGCTCATTGCTGCTTGATTAGTTTCTAGACTCTTTCAATGAAAATATTAGGAATTTTGTGTATATTTTTAAAGAGATGAGATTTATCATGAACTCATATTCTTTCTGCTACTGATAGTCTCACATTCACACTGATATTTCCAATTCCAATGTAAATGGATCTCTTCTATCTTGCTTCTGTTTCTCCTTTCCCCATGCTGAAAATCCTACTTCCCAAAGACACCCATACAATTACTTGGTTGGTTTATTTCCCTCGCAATTGAAGCAAAGATTGAGCAGACTGGATTAAAGACTACCTTAGGTGAGTTACAAATAAAGAGCTTAATTTCTTAGAAAAAGGCTTTTGCACTTTTGAATCTTCTATATCCTGCTGGGTCTTGGGCTACTAATATGCAGGCACTGTCATTCCATAATGGCTCCTTTACACCAGGGACACAGAGCCTGTGGATTTTAGAAGTGTCAGCAAGAAAGGTGGAAATCAAGTGCATTTATGGGTTTTCACCATTTACTGCTCCTATGGTCTTGGTAACTGTGGGTACCTATGGGGTAACTGTGGGGTAACTGTGTCAGTCAAAGGCTAATTGGCCACTTCCCTATGGCTACACAGGAATGAAAAATTCGTTTATGAACAAAAGTTGTTGCTATCAAAAGATTATACCAGAAAGGGGGTAAAAATGGAGGTTGCAAACTCTTCTCATTTAGGTTTAGATGAGGGCAGTAAAGATACATATCTGAATATATTTTATCAGTATATCAATAAAGAACAGAACAACTATATAATATTCAGAATATATAAATGTATAATATATTATATCTCCAATTGTTAAAAATTAAGTACCTACCACATGGCAGGCACTGTGCAAACCCCTGGAGAATCAAGATAAATAAGACACACTCACTGACTTTGCAGGAAACAGAAATGTAAGGTAGATAAAAAGCTATTTAAAACACAGTAATACAGGTGAAAAAGTGGATTTCACTCATAGAGGAAGATAAGATTAATTCTGGACATTGAAAGGTAAGGAAGTTGTTTTTTTTTTTTGTTTTTTTGTTTTTTATCAGAGCTGTTTTTTCAGTTCAGTAGCAAAGAATGGGAAGTGTTTTAATACCCCAAGCTGAAGATTTCTTTAGGACACAGGAGGCCTGCCTCTCTGACTAAGAGGATACATCCCCATGAAGGTATCATCCAACTTCATGGGGAGATGGTGCAAGCCTGAAGCTGCCTATAGAGGAAAGGAACCACACCTCTGTTGATCATGAGCTAAGCCTGGGAGCAGAATATTCCCCCTTCCCCATCTTTTAAAGCCCTAAAACAATATATAGGGCCTGTCCCTACCTAAAGGTCCATAACAGATGTCCCATAGACCACCATGAGCTTGTATATCAGAGAAGAGAGCCATGGCAGTTTTTATAGAAGAGTATAATGTGCCTCTTAAACAAGTTAACAATAAGGATGAGTCTATTCCTGAGGGCTCTCTCACCTGTCCTTCCCAAACATCCACTACCACCCTATCAATCCCTGTTTTCATTTTCCCAGACGAGGTGTATCAGAAGGTAAATGCCCTAATGAGAGATACTGATACAATACACAGGAAGGAAGACAAGGAGTGGGTGGGGGAATTTAACAAACAAAATCTTCTCTATCAGGAGAGGAAAGAAAGTGAGGAAGAGATGCAAAACCAAAAACATAAGTAATAAAAAAGAAAATGATGTGCTTTAAGGGGGAAGCACTGATGGAAAATCACTCAGTGGGAGTCGAAGCCACCTTTATGTTTCGGTTTGTAGCAGATGCTTTCATCTTATAAAACTAGGATTTTTGTTAAAATAAGTCTATGCCCAAACCAGATTATTCTGACCATAAAAAGAATAAAAAATACACATTATATGACCTTAATAAGAATTTTAAAAACAGGCTTAAATCTCATGGGACATTTTTAAAAAATGTATTTATTATGATATAGCCTATAATATCATAAGATAAATACCTGAAGTCTCTTCTACTGCTTCGATCTCCTCTAGCTTTGTTTCTTGGCCATATTTGCCAACACAACCCAGGAAAGAAACCTTGCCCTCTACTCACTGATGGAGTAGGTTTATGTTTTGTTTACCTGCAGCTGTGTCTTTTTTCCCTGTCCGTTTTCTGTGTATGTGCATATACCAGTGATGTGACACAACGAAGCTAAAGCATATTGTTTGGATTTCTTATCAAAGAGCCTATCATATTTTCTAAATAATGAGTAAGTTTATGCTTAAGCTCTGATGCATTAAAGAAGAGTGACACCTTAAAGGAAAAGTTCACTGGTAGCGTGACTATGCTAACCGTTTAAGAATATGATGAAACATTTTTAAAAATAAGAAATTGGAGTAGTGCCAATTGTCCTTACCTAAACTACTTGTACCTTGGTCCTTTCAGGGGAGCTTATGGCCACCTCCAGGGACTGTATGGAAAGGGCTACCAACCAGGACAAAGGGATTTTCCAATATCAAGTTCTGTTAACCAGAAATAAACCGTTTTTTTCTGCCTGGTTGATTTATTCTTTTTCTAGTTTAGTTTCTACATGTATGGATAATAATGTCTGCTAGTATCTAAGGTCTAGAAGATTGTAGAATATCTAAGATGGAAAGAACCTTAGAAATAGTTCAGTCAGCTTTCATAGATAATAAAAATCAATGGCCCCAGATCATTAAATGACTTCTTCAGAGTGACAAATCTTAATTTTGGGGCTTACTGAAGATTATTCTAATAAAATATCAGAATATAATTCCCTAGAAGAGGCTAAAATGTACACACGTCTAAGTAAATATTTTTCCCTTAGGAAAACATACAATAATACTGAAAAAGCTTTCCATTTGTTATCTGAAAATAAGGGCCACAGAAATAAAGGTGAGGAAATCAGACGCAAAGACATATCCTCAATTTAGTATCTAGAGCAGTAATAAGAAACTTTAACAGAGGATAGAGCTTAAAGTACAAAATAAAGGAGGTATAAAATGTTCCTTTTATGGCCTGTTTTGTTAGCAAAAGAATTCCTATATATAGAATGCCATACCTTTTTAATTTCAGATTTCAAATTACAAGGGTTACTCTGCTGACTGAAGAGGGATTTCTTGAATCTCTCTACAACCCTCCTTTTCAAATTGTGGTGCAAAGCTGGAGGAAGCTGCATAAAACGAAAAAACAATCATTATAAACAAGTTGTTAACACTGCACAACTGACTACAAAGAGCATTCACTGAGGGCCCCATGTAACAACAGTCACTCAATAGGACAATATAAGAATTTAAATTTTACTGCAAATAGCATGACTAGATGCTATAATGTTTTTACCCTGCAATTCAGAAGGAATATATTTTTCTGCTCTTTTTCAAATGGTTTCTTACATTTATTTTATTGTTTCTCCACTGATAGGATTTTTCATATAACCATTAAATTACTTGTTAATTGAACACATACATTGAATTTTGTGAGGAACAGCCTTGACACAGAAGAGTGCGCTTTTATCAGATGTTTAGGGGCTTATAATATGCCCAGAACCATGTTAAACACTGTAGCCGTGGTACTACAGGATCTGACACTTTGGACCAGGAAGGGTACACATCTGCATTAGTAGTGTTTGAGTCATATGCCTGTCTGTGAGTGCTCCTGAAACTTCAGCTGGAGAGAGGTCAGATTTAGGTACCAATCATTCCAGAAGAAAGAGAGGATGGATTAGTATATACCAAGACCAGACCAGGATGAGTTACATTTAGTGAGTAGCAGAAAGTCATGTAGGATCTTAGAAAACATAGTGACAAAAAAAAAATGGGGATAAAAAAATCATTTGCCATGCTTTGCAGGTTGGATCTCTGTAAGAAAACCAAAAGTCCTGAAAAGCACAAAAAGATGAAGTGACGTTTGGAAGAAGGATAATAGAAGTGAAGTTGGGTCAGTATTAAAAGGGTCTCAGAGTGGAAATAGTATTTGGCTTTGTTTAAATTACAGAGAGAACTTGAAGGGAGAGAAAGGGGAATCAGTAAGAAAAAAAGTGGAAAAGAAAATGTGATAGTAAAAGCTCTCAGTATTAAACAAGAATATAATTCAAAGCTCGGATAGAAAGAAAGAAGAATGTATCAGAAACAATTATCACCCCAACCCTGCTCCATTTTCTAGGCTTCCTTCCAGGCTTAGTTGGTACCATGTGACTACTTTTGGTCAATAAAAGTGATGTGTGTCACTCTGAGAATAAGGCCATTCAAAGTCAGTGTGTTTTCTCCACCTCTGTCCACCCTACTGCAAGGAGGGTGGACATTGGCATTGCCATCCTATTCCGATGGCATAGCCACAAGAAGGAACAGGGACGTCTGAGCCCAACTGGAAATGAGTAAGAAATAAATCTCTATGGTGTCCAGCCAAGGAATTTCAGGGTATAACAGTTCATGCAGCATAACTGACCTTACCCTATTTACTCAAGTTTCGTGAGATGGGAGACATATAAAGGTCAATGTCAGAGCAAAGAATAGGGCCTATAGGAAGGGGCTCACAACACTGACTGCACAGCCAAATAAAAGCTTTTCATCATCCCAAACACAGTAGAATGTAGGGTCCATTATGAAGTACTGTAATTATATAACACAGGAAAATAATTCCATTGAAAAATGTTTTTAAAATGTAGCTTTGATCCTAGCATTTGAGTCAAAGTATGTTTAATTAGTAAATAAGACTGTTCTGGAGATACTGAAGCACTTCAGTGTACTCCGAAATGTTCTGTAGGTTGGCAGCTCTGAGTCTCTACTGATCTCTATCATGTCAAGATTACAGCTTTCTTTTGCCTTAATCCAGATGGGATCCCTCCCTCTACTCCCAGCAAATAGTCATAATTATTATCGTCCTTTCATGTGAAGTGAAATGAGGAAATAGAAAATGTGGAAGATAGAGAAAGAAGAGAGAGGAAGGGGGTGCAGGAAGAGAGAGATTTCTCAGCATTAAAGAGGGTGGGGAGTTGGGGAGAGATAGCAAGGGGAGAGATGCCAGATGTAGGTGATGGGGAGGAAGGCAGCAAATGACACTGCCATGTGTGTACCTATGCAACAATCTTGTATGTTCTTCACGTGTACCCCAAAACCTAAAATGCAATAAAATAAATGGGAAAAAAAGAACAAATCGAAGACAGATGAGAAGGAAATGAGTATATATGTGTGTGAGAGAGAATAGCAAAAGAGAAATGAATTTAACTGAGAGTAGAAACAGACATGAAGGTGAGGAGCCTGTGCAAGTATGTTCCTAGCAGGAGGATGGGATGGAGTGATGAGGGAACCGGAAAGTACCTGGACAGACCACAGGTTTATCATTCCCTTTTGTAATACACCAGAAGTTGCCACTTTCCCAACCAAACACCAGAGAGCAGTGTTGGTCCAGAACCCTAGCTGATGCCCAGTTGACTGCAAGGGACTGTCGAACAGAAAGGCAGCAAGCCTTCTCTGCTGTGACACTTACGAAAGTATGAAGCACCAGTGGCGCATAGTTTCCTTCAAAGGGGACTTAGCCCACTACTGGAAGCTATGAGTATCAGATTATTAATTCAGATACTCTCAGAATTCTTGCTATTTCTTTAACTTGAGAAGCCTCTAGTTAACTTAGAATTCTTACTCCTCCTGCTGGCCTAAATTAAGCCTCAAAAACTCATTTGAGTAAGTGAACATTCAGTTAACTTAGATGCATATATATTAGAAAGCTATTGATCTTACTGGAATAATTATCAAAATGGACAGCCCCCATCTTTAAAGTTTTCATGCAAGAATTTAAAATTTTAAACAAAATGATAACTCATGCATAGCTTAATTGCTGGTGATATAAGCATAATAATATATTACATACAGGGGCTATAATACAAAACAGAATATTGATGTCTATGATTCATTTGAGCCAGGCTCTATGACTACTCACTTATGTACGGCCTTGCTTTTTCTCCACGACAAACTTATAAAGCAAGTAGTATTTCATAGGTGAGGAATTTAGAACTTAAAGGCATTATGTAACATGCAAGAATACTTTCTGAGTAGTGCCTTCTAGCACAGCCATTATTCTAGAGCAGATGCCACCACTACTAGCATTACTGTAGGATAGCACTTTATAGTTTAGAAACATTTTCAGCTGGACATGGAAGTCCATGCCTGTATTCCCAGCACTTTGGGGGTCAAAGGTGGGAGGACCGCTTGAGCCCAGGAGAGTTCAAGACCAGCCTTGGGCAACATGGCGAGACCCATCTCCAATAAAGAAACAAATAAACATTTTTGCATACTTTATTTCATTTGAGGCAAGTAGTCTCATAAGCTCCCCTACCTTACAAATGATGAAACTGATTCTTAAAAAGATAATGACTTCCACAAAATCACACACCTAAAATCTTGGTTTTTGTTTGCTTGTTTTTACTACACTACACAAAGTAACAAAACAATGAAAATCGATCTGCACACTTTGTACTAGGTTTTCTCAAACTTGCATAATATTAATATTGGAATAGAATATATAGATTTCCATATGTGGAAGAATATATGGATTCTTTTAAAGAACTTTCTATATTCTCTAGTATCTCCAGGAATACATCACAAGACTATCCATTGCTCACAGGACTCCATTTGATAAAAAGTGACTCAAGTTACCAACTAATTCTAATTTTTAAAAAGTTATTTTGATGTTACTGCTTAAGAGGATGTTTCCCTAAACGCTAAAATAGAATGTTGAAAGACTATCATCAAACTAAATGCACAAAATGTAACACTTCTCTTAGAATTTACAAACCCTGAAAATGGAAGTCAATTTAAGAAATACAGCTTCACCCTAAATATCTTATCCTGATAAATCTCAATGACCCCTGCCATTAGTGTAAGAGATCCAGATAAGCAGGTGTGGATGGTTCTAGTCTTATCCATCGCTATTGCTGAAAAAACACAGTAAGTTTCACGGACAGCTAGTAGTATGATTTTCATTGGAGGACAGCACATTGCTATTCTGAAACCACATGTTTTTTCCACTGGCAATAATTGTGGTTGTGAAGGTGGGCAATCCAAAGGTGCTTCAAATAAATGGTCTGCCTGTTCTCTGGGAGACCGATGTTTAATTTTTAAAAGATGCTATATATCCTGATTTTCAAAGCATCTATTTAACAAAACAATAAAAACATAAGTATAAAGTTAAATGCGGTGCTTAATTGGGCTGTGCAGATGTGACCTAAGCAATAACACATAAAGATTCACACTAAAGGGTAACATATGTTCTTTAGCCACCTTATCTGCCCAAAGGTAGATTTGGGGTTCCAGCAATGGAGGTAAACCACTGAGTTCATTCTTAGCTTGGTGGCCTTAGATTACCATTTCAGTTTCGATAAAAACAGAGGTCAAAGCAGTGAAAGCAAGGTAAGGATTTTAACATCCTGCCTTGTAAAATGGTTCTTTTAGATGATTTTCACTAATCTGTCTCCATGGAAATGAGAAAGAAAAGGCCACCACCCGCCAAAAGTAAGAAATGTTCCTTGTAAGTTCACCTGCTGGTTGTCAGGAGATACGTGGCCCCTCAGTTCAGGGCAGCTACCAAGTATAAGCCTGTGAGAGTTTGACTAGTAAATAAATATGTGGAAAAAAACAGTGTTTTTGTTAGTTTTTCCAATTCATTCTTACTTTCAGTCTTCTTTTGCAATTAGCAGAGATAGATAACCGATCTTGGTCTTTAACCTATAGCAAATACACTAGTTTAATATTTACATGGTTTTTTTAATTTGAAAGTCATTGACTTTGTTTAGTACTGTAAGTTAAAGTTCCCCAAAGAGGAATCATTCCTGACTATGTGCAGTATTATAAACTTTAAAGTGTTCTGGAAATACATTTTAAAAATCACAATAGTTATATTTGAACTTGTAGCAAGGAATGCCATTCTGCCAAAAAAATATGAAATTATTTGTTACACTGGCAGTTCAAGAACATAATAATAAGATATTTATAATAGTTTTACTCTTGCTTTAAACTACTTTGAAATCCAATAAGGAGATGGCATATATTTAAAAGTTTTTTATTACATAAAAATTAGCAAGACAAGCATATGAAAACTATATTTAAATTTCAAAGGATATCTCCATTTAATAGTTAATAGCTAAGATAACTAAAAAGCTATTTCTATATCAGTATTAGCATTTTAATACCGATATAGACTATGGATAAAGCACTAAAGTTAAGAATGTTTTTTCCATATTTCTATATTGGTATTAAAATGGACATGCATTTTAATATAATCACTTTACTCAATATAGATATGGCAGATTATATTTTGATATATTAATCAAGCTTCCCCCGATATTTCCCTGTACTCCTTCACCTTCTTTTATGTAATTAGTTAGACAATTCTGTGGTTGCCTAAGGAAAGCTTGGCAGCAGAAAATAGAAAAGTAATCAGTTTTAGACTCCTGCATCTCAAAAAGGCAGCCATCAGGGAAAGAAAAAAGAACACCAGAATTTGGACAAAACTTGATAGATAAAGGGCAGGCTACTCCACCCCGGGCTTAAAGACTACCCAGGCTAAACGGAAAGCAATGAGAACTCAGAGGTGGGGAGACACCCAAGAAGGTGGTTCCTTGCCTAGTCCCCTAGGTTAAGGGTGCCGGTTAACAGCCTGTCAGCTCCAAGTCCACCCTTTCATTATCCTGCTTGTGATACTGGAACATTTCTCCCTTGCCATCTGGCAGGATGCTAAGGTCTATCAGAAGAGAGCCATGAAGGGATACTGGAGGAGGATGGATCTTGTTTCCTGGCTTCAGTGATGCTCCTGCCTTGCCTTGCTGTAGCAGCTCATAGTGAACAGCACATGAGGGATCCCTAGAGGTTGGTGCTAACCCCCAGTCAGATCTGCAGGTGGCTCCCCAGAGAATTCCATGCAGCAACACCTACTCAGAGTGGCCTCCCCTGGTCCCATAGAGGGTGGTACCCAGCATAATACCCTGAAGTACTGATTCCCGGTAAGTTCCAGGGCATAGTACGTTACTACAGAGGGCTTGCCCAGATCCCCCAGAGGGACACTTCACTTCAAGTTTCTCCAGTATAGCATCTTACTAATTTTTCTAATCTTTCCAGTAAGGCCAGGACTTTGACCCAGGGTGGAAATGTCCACTTCCACATTTGTTCCTTTCTTGAGTGCTCTGCCTCAGCCCTAGGAGTTGTGACTTCATCTGCTCTTCCTACATTCTTTAGATTTCTGTTACCCTCCCTAGTAGATAAAACTCATCATAGTTAATAATTCTTTATATTAAACTTTCCCTGTTGAAAGGAAGGTTATGGTGTGGTTTCTGACTAGACCCTCACTGATACAGACACAGGTTCCAGCAATGTCCCACAGAGCCCATACAGATAGGATTTGGGAATTGGTTTGATTGTGCCCTTGGAACAGAGCCTAGTGCTGAGTTTTGTTTGTTCCTTTGCTGGTTGCAAATAGGACATGGGATGTTAGTAATCCATGGCATGCAGTTGGATCACAATTAATCAGGTTATCATCTTGTTGAAGTGCCAACTGAAGCAGGTGCCTTGGAAGCCCAAATAGCTGCTGTTCTTGACTGGTAGGCGGTAATGAAGAACACAAGGACTATGCCACAGAATGGATTCTTCTGAGCTCACCAGAGCACTTACAGAAGGAAAATGACAAGCTCGGGTCCTTTACAGCTCAGCTAAGTCATGATCTGAGACATGGAATGATCTCATGACAGCTCTAAAAGAATCTGTTGCTTTGTTCTGCTACAGTGTTGATATGGCTGATAATCAAAATTTAATTGAGCATATTACTAAATTACAAGGTCAGTTGAAGTCACACATTATCAAATTTTTCATGTGAAAGTTAGAAAAAAAAAAGAATTCTAAAACTTGGAATAGGAACGTCTTGTTGAACCCACCCAAATAACACTAACATTCCCGAAACCAAAGTCACTCTGAGCCTTCACAGCAATTAAAAATAGCTTGCCACTCTGTGTCTGTGAAGATGAGCCTTTCTTTGTTTGAAACCCTATGATAACCTCATCTAGGACAAACGTCTTTAAAAGGGATGTTCGTTTCCTCATGAGACCCAACACAATGAGGGTCAAATCCATAGCTAGGGTCCTATTTCAATATGATCCAGGGAAATTAGTGTACACTGTGACCCGGTAGAAAAAAGCAAAAGAATTGCAAAATTTTGCTATTACATTTCAGCAGCAACCCAGAGAACATGTGCAGCAGTGGATTCTAAGAAGGGTAGGCCAAGAAGGGTAAAAAAAATATAGCACTAGATCAGACTGAATTCATCGATATGGGTGCACGTACTAGAGATTCCAGACTTAACATGTTAGTTCATGCAGTGGAGGTAGCTGAACTGGTTGTTTGACTAAAACTTGTACTTAACCATGGTCTGTGTTTGATGAGGGTAAAATGCCCGAACTTCCCTGGCATATGGAGGAGGGAATTCAAAGGCCCAGGGAGACAGACTCATTGGAGTAGATTTACCATGTGCGACTTGCACACCCACTCCCTGACCACATTCAGCAAGAACATCCAGAGGCTACTCATTTCACTGAGGCATTGAGAAGCACACTGGAGAGGGGAGCACCAGCATTCTTGAAAAGCACGGTGGTTGCTCTCCATTGGAGGACAGGTATGACACCGAACGATACATGATTTCAATGTATCCAACTGGCAGGGACCAACTGACGGCACGTGACCACCCATAACAAACTGGGAGCATTTTCCATAAAGGGCAGCAGGGAGGAACTATTATTTAGAATGCCTTAGCCAACAGAGATCTTTGGTGGTCGTTAGTTTACTAGAGTGTTCCTAGAAAAGAAATAGATGGTCTGCCTATTCAAGAATTCCTTGATCAGTTTAACAGAAAAGAAAATCTAGATGTGGTAAACGGACACCTGCCCTAAGTTGCCATTGCCACAGTGGAGAGTTACAGCCTCAAACACAGTTTCCAGATGCAAGTCAACTCAAAGACTCAAAGCCCCTTGATTAAGTGGAAGCTGGGATCCCTTGAGGAAGGGCCCTGCAACATTACTACAAGTGCACACCATAAATTTTTCTCCAAATCTCCCCCAGGAAGAATTGTAGCATTTACTAGAGTGACCGTTTACTGGGAAAAAGGAAATACAACAGGCTTTCCCCAAATACGAAACACTGGTTGCAAATTGACACTAAGATTTCTAGAGTCTTACAGTGCTACTGTGGTTCACCATTTAAATTTATTTTTTGTTTTGGGATGTTTTTGGTAGGGATGGGGGTTAGTTAAATGGAATATGAGCCTAATGGGCCCAGGTGGTCCATTTAACTTGTGGTGCTTGTCTTCAGTATCTGAATGTTTAGTTGAAATTGCCATACTGGCTGCTGACAGCATCCCCCATTGGCTCTTTAAATCTAGAGCAAGGCAATGTTTATGTTTTGCTCATGGACGCATCTCAAGTCCCTAGAATAGCACCTGGCACATAGTAGGCACTTAATAATTATATGTCAAGTGAGTGAATGAATGAATAAACCATATAAGATTTATAATTTTAGACTTCAAATTAATAGCGACTTTCATGTCCAAGTGTCTTCTATACTTCTTTGTCTAAAAAAAATTTCTATTAACTATACAGAACAAAACTTTCAAATTATTACTAAACATATTTCTGTCAATAATTAATAGGCATTTTTTTTAGCACTGATTATTTTCTTAGTAGCTAGGAGTCACTGAGATTTACAAATAGAAAGTTTTAACAATTCTGGATGTTATGTGGTCTTGGCATTCACTCTCTGAAAGGTCCTAATTTCAACATAGCATTCTCAGAATTAATGGGCAGGCACTATTTTCCTCTTTCTTTCCTATAATAAAGCTGCTTAAGAGCAAAGAATCCCAACCCTGTTTCCACTTTCACCCCTATAGAAGGGCCATTTGTGTCGAAGTTTCATTTTGGTTGCGCACTCACAGTAAGAGAGGACGTTAGAAATCATGGGGAAAATCTGACATATTTGCTTTTTTACTCTACTACCTTCCCAGCTCTGTTGCTAAACTAAAGAGTCACCACATGTATATAGTTGGAGATGGTAAGAACAAGTATTCACTCTAAAGTCCAACAAAATAGTTCTTCAGCAGTATTAGCTCCAAACTTGCATTTAAGATGAAAAGGAAATTAAAAGCTAGAACACTGACCTGTGTGATATAGATTATTTTGTGCAGCTGAATTAATATCTGCTGAATAGGATCACTGATCTGACGTACTTTCCTCTGGGACACAGCAATTCCTGCAGATGCTGTGGGTGATAAATTCTGTAGTTAAAGTTCTCTTTCAAAAATTATATTAATAAAAAATGAAGTAAAACTCTAACACAAATTTTAAGGGAAAGACTTCACTTTATCAATGGGGCAGTATATAGAGACCCTGTAATACTTCAATATTTTATGACATGGAATAAACAATATTTTCCCTTTACTTCCCAGATTCTTAAGTAACACAATGATATTACCTGTAATAACATCTGAAAGACTGCTTATCTCTTGGATACTTTGCTGACAATTACAGCAGGCTGCCATCAGGAGTCAGCAGTGCCTTAGATACAGTGGCCACTGAAAAGCCAGGCTTCAGACGTGTATAATTAAGAGGGTATCATGCTTTTAAATTTTAAATTCATTATGCCCTCTGTGACATATTTTAAGACTAATTTTATCAAAACTATGAAATGTAAACACTGAATAGACATTCTTACAGAGCAAAAAAGTGAAAATTCTTTTAGCTAGAATTAAGTAACTTTCAAACCTTTGATTATTACAAATTACAATTTTCACCTAGATTTCTCTCCAGGTCTAAGTGGGGCACATTTATAATTTATCCTGAATTCTCATCATACAGCCACCCACCTTCACAGTTTCAGACTAATTTGGTATCAAATTGTATACTGTTGCTTTCCCAGAGTCCTCTGTCATAGCCACAGTCTGTTCCTAACCTGAGGACTACAGAGCTAATTAAAGGAATGGCTTTTGTCTCCAGATTACCTACAAGGCCACCTCTGCCTCTTTTCACCCACAGAACCATACTGGATAAAACGAAAAGAGGCTTCAGATATGTGATGTGCATTGTCTTCCACCCTTTATCTTCCTTCTCTTCCTCTTTCCCTTAATCCCCTTAACCTAGAGTGTGCTTTCTGCAATAAAACTTCTCTTGCCAATTTCCTTAAAAAAAAAAAAAATTGAAAGTTCCACAGACCCTCTTTTCTTCCCTTCAAACAACATTGAGCCTCTATGAAGTTAAATGTGAATATAGTTGTTGCTTTAACAACAGCTAAGCGTTTTTAAAAGGGTTTCTTTTATAAGAACTTCCTGAGAAAACTTGCATATTTTACCATAAATGTTTTGTTTTCAAGACATTTAAAGAGAACATTCAACATGGTCATTTAAAAGAGTCAACTTGTTTTACTAGAAGCACATGAAAATGTATATTTAAGACATAAAATGCAAAAAGAATAATATACAAACATTCAAAGAAATACTACTTTCTTTACAGATATCTTTACCGAGTTAGTTTAGAATTTATCACAAAAAATAATCTAGTTCGAGTTCACCTGCAGTCAACACCTTGTTTAACTGTTTGCAATTTAAAGAGTCTATATCCCATGGACACAATGCTGACTCCTTTTAATATCAATTATTTGATTATTAACATGAGGTTTAATAAATACCCCTTGGATAAAAGTGTAAAGAGGCAAATCGAAAGGGTTCATGTAGCTGTAAAAAGAGGGCAGAGAGCTGGAGTTGTCTGCCCCAACTTGTGGAGATGGCCAAGTATACGCATGCCATATTTTCTACAGCAGTGCTTCTTGGAGAAATAATTCTTAAAATATAACTGTTTGTCTAGACCCAAACCAAATACTAGAGACTGTGTAACATGGCCAAGTTGATGTTGCTACAGAAAAATTAACTTTACATTTTCTGAAAATGGAAAGCTAGGGTTTTAAAAAATCATTTTTATATTAACTATTTTATGTTTTTGATTTGAAGATGCAACATTCATAGGTAATGAGTTAAAATCTCACAGCATGGCATAGAGTTCTTAGGTCTGTGATGACGTTCTGAATGGGATATCACATAGGTTTGACTCTACCTTGCCACAAGAATGTGCCCATCTGTGGCCCTAAATACAAAAACAGAGAGTTAGCTAGAATGTTTGCCTTCTGAATTAATCAACTATGCAATTTGTTAAAAAATTATTTTTCTTAAGACCCTTTGACTACTACCCTCTCAATCCCAATACATCCTTGAACTTTGGAAATAGTTTTGATTACTTAGTTATTAAAAAATAAAGTTAAAATGTTCAGTTATGCATGCCCCTATAAAAACAAGCAAGCAAGCAAACAAACATGAATGTTAATATTACAAATGAGATTGAAGGCTCCCAGGAGCCACCACCCATCACAGCCACCTCGCTAGAAATAACCTGTGGCATCAGAGTGGTGTGTTGTCTTTCACTCACTTTTCTGTTCACTCACATACATAAATGTACACTTTAAAACAGTATTTTTCAAACCATACTTGAGTCTTGAAGCCAATTTTAATGAGTCATGATCAGCATTTTGAAAAATACAATCAAATGAACTGGAATTAGATTTTAAAATTTCAGAGGACATTGGAAGGGTCCACTCAGTCAAGACATAAAATGTGCTTTCTATTGATAGTCATTCCCAAGCATTTGAAAGCTACTCTTATGGAAAATCTAAAGTAATCCGTCCATCCTCCCTTCTTCCTTTCCTCTCTTTCTCCCTTGCACTCTTCCTCCCTTCATTTCTCCCTCCCTCCTTCCCTTCCTTTGTAAATAATTGGTGACACACCATTTCACATAAACTGTTGTACAATTTCTTTTTTTCACTCAGTCTATAATGGAGATTGTTTATTACCAACACATGCAGCTCTAGCCCATTCTCTGTAACCACTAAAGACTGCTATGGGGCCTGGATGCACTGTAGTTTACATAGCCATTTCTGTCTTGGTGGGCACTTGCTTTCCATTTCTCATGATAATAAGTGATGCCGCAGTGAATATACACATGCATGCCTCATTGTGCTTAAGTACAAGAGTTCTTTTAGGGTAGACAAAGTGACTGAAATAGCTGGACCCAAGGATACATTGAAGCAAATACATTTTTAAGTGGCTGAGTCAATGTATACTCTGACCAGAAAAGAATCCATTTTTCTACACCTCAGTCAACATTATATGTTACCAAACTTTTCCACTGTGCCAATCTGATTGCTTTTGTATTTATCTAAATGCCAGTGATGTTGCTGTACTTCCTTGGTAAACTTCTTGCTTGTATTCATAGTTCTTTGCTCTTATTGATTTGTAAATGCTCTTTACATATTCTGAATACTCATCCTTTTATTGCGTTTTTTTTTAATTGAGATGGGGTCTCACTCTGTCACACAGGCTGGAGTGCAGTGGCATGATCACAGTTCACTGCAGCCTCTACCTCCTGGGCTCAAGCAGTCCTCCCGCCTCAGCCATCAGAGCAGCTGGGAGCACAGGTATGCACCACCACACTCAGCTAATTTTTATATTTTTAGTAGAGACACGATTTCGTCACATTGGACAGGCTGGTCTCGAACACCTGGCCTCAAGTGATCTACCCACCTCAGCCTCCCAAAGTGTATTTTTATTCTTCATTTAAAGGTTAATAACTGCCAAGAATTTTGCAAATGTTAGCCATATTATTTTATCTAGCTTTAAAGCATTCTCTCTCAGTAAATCTTTCAGATTAGCCCACTGAAAATATTAAACTTCCTAACTGTTCACCAAAAAAAAAATGCAGCATATTTGTATTAACAATTTTGATCTGAGAATATTTGTATGAAAATAATTTTTTATTAAACAGACAACTGTAAAGCTGATCACAGTTCATGAGCAGTGCCACTCACACATAATATGCCCAAGGTTCATATCTACATGGTATTTCCTACTGCAAAAATATATACACAATATTTGGTCTCCTTAAAATTCAAATAAAATCAAAGTTTAAAATATTGGGATACTTTGTATTCTTTTACAGTTTTTATTAAAAAAGGAAATTTGACTAGTGTTTTAAAACTTAGAACTACAACATTTCTTATAAGAGGCAATTTACTTAAAAGTGTCAAAAAGTCATTACATAATTATATTTGCCAGCTTACTCTGTGGCAAGCAATTTTTTGGAGTGTTAGGTCCCCTGACCTAACACTCCAAAGGGGGAAAAAAGAGCTATTTTTTCCCCCTTTGGAGTGTTAGGTCAGGGGACCTGGAAGAAGAGCAGTGCTTATTTTTCAGCAAGGGCTTAGGTGAAACATTGGGAGCTGTTTTACACATTAGTCTCCTCTAATCCATACAACCATTCTGAAGGTAGTCATGTGGATTACAGAAGACTAAATGCATAAAACACTTACCAGCCCCTGGAAACTGTCTGCTCATTTATTGGTGTAGATTCTATCCCCATTTTACAGATGAGGAGACTGAGTGCTAAATGCTTCTGAACCACTAAAATTCACAGGCTGAAATCCTAATCCCCAAGGCAATGGCATTTGGAGGAGATGAGCTTGGGAGGTGATTAGGTCATAAGGGTGGAGGCCTTGTGAATGGAGTCAGTGCCATTATAAAAGAGGCCACAGGGAGGTGGTCACGCCTTCTACCATGCAAGGACACAGCGAGAAGGCGCCTCTGGTTACCGCAAATACAAAACAGTACCTACGCTCCTTCCCCTCCCAAAATATTATTTCTCTTCTTAAAAGGCTTGCTACTTTTAACATGATGCCCTACCTATCTCTCTGAATATTTAATTAACTATTTTTGTGAAGCATGTAGACATAATAAGTTGAAAGCATTAGGTTTTTGTAGCTAGTGCTGTGCACTACATTCTGCTTTAGAATCTCACAGCATCATGAACTAGCCAAGTTAGTTGCCCATCCCTGCTGCTTTGACACTTGATTTATACTATACGTACAGTCTATTGAAGCTTTAATTCACAATTATATACTCTGAAGCTGTTAATTACTACAAATTAAGCCCAAAAATGTGGTTTACACTGTATTCTCCCAGTTGACCAAAATATGGTATCGATATACTATTTTTCTGAATTCTCACAGCTAAGAATCAGGAACTTTTGGACAACTGGAGAAAAAAAGGTTAAGGAAGGGGATCCGTGAAGAAGCAAAAAATATATCGTTTTAATGAATGAGGCCAAAAGACACATGAGCTTCTTTATATTGGACCAACTGTCTTGTCAAAATACAATACAAATTTACTATGACCTCTTTACTATTCTAACAATGAAATAAAGTAACTTAATTGTAGTTCAAATCTATAAATGTTCAGCAATCAATCCCTGTGTCCCTGGTTAGATGAAGGATCTTGAACTCATAAGGATTTCATGAAAGGGTCACCCAGACCAGACAACCAAAGATGTGGGAGAAAGAGCAGATTCAAATGTGACATTTGAGACCAGGAAGAATTAGTAGGCCTTTAATAGCACAGGACATGCACTGGGTGTGAGGGAAGTTGTATTTGAGTGTGGGTTCTTAGGAGAAGGAGTAATTCCAGCAAAGGGTGAAGTCAGCTAAGTGAAGATTGCAACTGAAGAACAGCAAAATGTTCAGTTTAGCTGGTGTGTGGTACAATTAAAAGGTATAGTATGTACATAGCTGAAGAGGTAGCCAGGGACCATGCATGATGGTGAGGAGCAATCAGGCTGACTGTATTTCAGGAAAGGTAATCTCACAGGAAGAGGCATACAGCTGAAATCAGAGCCCTGGCTTGAACTGGCTCTCTGCTAGGTACTAGCAATATGGTTTTCAGAAAGTCACAACTTCTTTGGGCCTTAGTTTCTTCATCTGAAATGAGAGCACGGTAAAAATGGGAATAGAACCAAGGGGGCTGAGGTCATACACAATGCGGGGAAATCAATCTACAGCGCATGGCAGCGTGGGGAGCAGGAGCCAAGGACTGCTGAAGCTTGGGACGGAGACACTGAGAATATGATGTTCCGTCAAAAGAGAGAGGGACGTGACAGAGAAGATGGTGCATCGGAGGATGGATACTTCCCAGCCCAGACCAGCAGATCGTTCTATAATCAGACAAAAATTGTTCCGAAGGAGCTTGGCAGTCTAGGCCTAGATGCCCCGCCACCCCAACCTCCAGTGGAATTTCCCACAAGATGACAGCAAGCTGAGTCAAAGCTTCGGCTCCTTGCACCTCTAGGTGATCAGGCAACAAACTTCCTTTCATTCGAAACTTCAGAAACAAGCTGTTTAAAGGCCAGAAGCAAGGCTGCTTTGAAGTCCTTCACTCTTGAATTCTAACTGAGCCTCTTTTATGCAATGTGCCTTATATTCCTCTAATGGGTAATGTCACAGCATATTTAACTAACAATCTACATCAATAAAGGAGCAGACAGTTTACAGCCCTGTAGTGTTAGAGGTTAACCTGCATAAATTAATATATTGGTATGATTTTACACCCAGTCAAGAACTTGATCAGGAAAATGATATCATTTTATTGCCTTATAGAAATTCTACCAGTCTTATGCTTAATTTAGCAATCTTATTTCAGCTTTTCTTTCTTGCCTAACTATATAAATCTCTGTTCTTCAAATGCTCTTAAATCAGCATTTTTGTCTTCCACCAGATTCTATTATTAATGGGCTGAATAAAACTCAGACACTTGCTAAAGAATAACTTTAAGAACTGTGCTTTTCCACCCCAATATAAAAAATAATAAGTAGTTATATAAACAGAAACATTTTTAATTGAAACACTATATGAAACATCTCCAATAAATTACTGAATCCATACTGAGCAGAGTCAATTAAGAATAACAAGGTTCCAGCTATAGTGCAGGGCAGGCATGGAGCCCAGAGAGAAGAAAGAGGCCTCTTGCTTTCAGGAGAGTGAATTGCTGCAGCAGCCATTATATAGAATGGTTTGGACACAACCTTAGTTGTATCATCATTTTTCTTGAAGAAAAGGAATTAATTGACACTTAATGACTGAGTCAATGATTAATACTCTCTTATGGTTTAAATGTACTCCGAGGTCCTAAAAAAAAATTACTCCCCAGACAAGAGCCAATACATGGATAGATTCTTAGCTACTGGTACTTACATTTCTATCCAGGAAT